TCTTTTTCTTGATCTTCGCTTGAAGTACTTATTATGCATTCTTCGCAGTCTTCCTGTTCTCCTTCTTGCTATTCTTCTTTGCTGCCACAGTTGTCTCAAGTTCTGGGAACTAGCCGATCCTGATGATGATGATGATATCCGATGCATCACCTGGTAAGGAGAATGCTGCAATGGCAATAACACTAAGTGTACATAGATATCACCATCATGACGACTTGCATCCGGGGCAAGGTCCGGGATCCAGAACGGCCTACAGCCTCATGGACAGCTCCGCTTGTGCCCAGGAACACTTCGGACGTTAGGATAGAAAGGATTCGGGGCGTGCCTGCTTAGGCCACGGAGTTGTTCGCAGGTGGGGTTTAAGAAGCTTGGGGTTTAAATTCTCCCGAAAAGCCGCAAACCACGACCTGCAATGTGGATAACTGATGAGTCTCGGAGTCTTGAGATCCCCAAATCAAGTCAAGCTTTTGCAGCCATGTTGGGGTCCTGCTTAGTGTCTTGCCCCACCTCTCCCCTGTCCCCAGAAAATGACAAGATGTTCCCGTGTGTGTAGTTCAGCAGGTTGCGGGAAAGCGCCGGCGCGGATACACGCCGCGCTCGAAATGTTTTCTCGCATGACTAAAGGCTATGGGATGCTTAGTATGCTTCTTTGGGCCGTCCCGGGCCGCCAGGCAACAAGCGGAAGCAGCGTCAGCCCAACGCGCTTGCGCGTGACTGGTAGCAGCTAGCATAAACCCAACCACGCTGCTTCCTGACGAATTGATATACGGCCGGTATCCTGGAGTTTCGGATCTTTTTTGCAGCCTGAGCCTAACCTGATAAGTACCTCAAAGCGTAACCTATCCAGATAAGAACCCCGCCCTGATTGCGATGATACCAATGGTGACCGTTCACTGGCATAGCAACCTTGACAATCAGGAGGAAACGAATGGGCACCACTACAACCATGATGACGACCATACCAAAGACAACGAGTAAGACGACGACTACGAGCAATAACAATGGGCAGCAACAGCAATGACAAGATAAAACGATGGTGACCATGCCAGGGTCCTCCGTTATGGCAGGCATAACGACAATAGTATTTTCAACGGCAAAGGACGGTGTTTTCTAATCATACGTCATCATCATCATCATCTTCGTCATAATAATGATAATGAGAATACAAGCCATCACTATTATCATTACCACCACTCCAACGAACATGAAAACACAAATTGCAACAGGCGTGCTACTACTACGAAAATGGGAACAGTATTGCTGATAATAACAATATCCCTGAAACAACTGAACAAAACAAAGATACTGTTATAGTCACGACAGCAGCAAAAGGGGCAAAAGCAGCAGCTTTGACAAGATACAACAACTATGGACAATGCACAAGCGGACAATGATGAAGACTCGGAGGAAGCCGGCAACGAGCAAGAACAGAGGTTCATGCACCATAGGTGTCATCAAACAAGGTAATTATTGAAGGCTCACGTTAAAGTTAAGTCTGAATGCAGACATGATAGTGGTGAGATTTGCGAATGTCTGAGCAACTATCACTCAGCAACTGGCTCCAACGTTGAAACTTATCATTGCCCAGTTGCTACGAATAATGCACATGACTGTGTACAGCAATGTTTAAAAAGGGTGGGATGGCTTCGATCATCGACTGCCGACGAAATGCGTAGAAGCATGGAGTGGCCATGGGCTTGAAGCCTTCAATGACGGTTGCAAGTTCAGGGTTTGCAAGCAACGTGGTCTAGCCCGGGGCCGCCCGAGGGGTTGCCCCAAGGGCATCGCACGGACCCGTCTTGAAGCATAGCTTCGGAAAGCGAGAGCAGCAGGCGGCTTTGCTTTACGTTCCCGTCGGTGCTGGGTGACGATGATCATGATAATGTGGAGGTTGATGATGAAGACGAAGAAAGATGACGATGACGATGCTGATGATCCTGATGTTGATAATGACAACGACTGCAATGAGATTACTTTAGGAGAGCTGATGTAACTACAAATGTCAAGTGGCTTCATCGCGATCTCAAAGTGCTACGAGGCTACGCACTCGTTTCAGCGGCGAGCACAAAATCTAAAACAAGGATGTATATAGAAAGCAAGATAGATATGTACAATGTGCGTTTTGTGAACATGGGGATGCTCAATTTGCGGTGCAGGCATCATCGAGCGTCTCAGTGGCTCCGTCTCAGTCGTCCAGCACATGTCTCTGTGTGCGTGTGTGTGTGTGTGTCTGTGTCTGTGTGTGTGCGTGTGCGTGTGCGTGTGTGTGTGTGGGTGGGTGGGTGGGTGTGGGTGTGTGGGTGTGTGTGTGTGTGTGTCTGTCTGTGTGTGTGTGTGTGTTTTTGTTCGTTTCTGTTTGCGTGCCATGCACAGGTACCCCAGGTGTGCTCGCGGCTGGCAGGCCTGCTCCAAGATTTTGCTAGCACTCGCTCACGACACATGAAAGTGCAGCCTGCGAGTTGCGTGAAAATGAAAAGTGAGACTGCTCAGGGAAGGGTTGGGACATAGTTATAGATGAGACTTGCCACATTACGAGACAAGTGAAGAGGCAGCTTGGCACCGAAGGTGCTTGTTTGTCAGTTTGAGACGGTGCGAGATCGGCGTCTTGTTGGTAAGTGTGCGGGGATGGTTGATGTTCCCCCAGGCTACTTCCCACTCTCTGCTCTTACAGTATGGGAGGAACAACCGTCGGCCAAAGTATGCTGTTGATTGCACTGCAGCAGGGTTTTGGAAGTTTAGGCGAGTAGTTGGGAAGTTTATGACCTGAATACAAGAGTCACAGTCACAAGAGATGTGGTTGTTTCCATTCTGCGGCAAATAGTGAGCAGAAGACCTGCAACAAGCAGCCGATTCTAGTGCTGGAGCGGACGAAGTGCTGCAGATCGAGCTTTCGCATATCATGTGCCACCTTGTGCCTGGCCTGTAAGCTACCGACAAAGGCGGTCCCCCTCGCTAGAGAAGGGTGCGGCTTCGCTTGATCTGCTTGATCGGATGTTGGTTCTCCGTCGTCTTCATGCGACTCGGCCTTGCCACAAACGAAACCTCCCCGGCAGTCTGTGCAACCTTGCCCCTCCTTCTTGCCGGGCTGGCTTGTGACGCCCTGCAGTGGCCAGTAAGCTCGCAGAAAGCTGCTACTTCTCAAGACGAAGCGTGGGCGCACCCACACAACAACACGCACAAAAACACACCTGCATGGAGCTATTCTGCAGCAGCTCTGTCAAAGTCTCCAAGGCTGTCTCCTGAAAGGTACCGTTACCAACAGGCATGCAGGTGCATGAAATAAGTTTGGACACCATCCTGTCGAACCAGCGCCTGTCGTAGAACAGCATGGTCCGCTTCCAGCCGCCTCGCAAAGCAATTCAATCCAGGGTTCGGCTCCCGGCTCTTCGACCAGCCTTATGACGGACAACGGAGCGGCGAACTCCTGGAAGTGGCAAACTTTGGAGCTGCATGCTTTGAATGCTCTGCTTCTCTTTAATTTTCGCCTTGTCTGCCCTTCTCCTTCTCCTTCTACTCAACCCAAAACTCCAAAAATACCCTCAAGAGTCTCAGAGCGAATAACCCCGAAGCACATGAATGAGCTGGAACTCCGACAGCCTGAATCAAAACTTCCCATAAGTGGTTGTCTCCCTCTTCTCAATCTTTGCTTCTGCATTCCATCAGCGAGCCCGCTTTCGTTCCCGCCCAAACCCCCCATCGGGTCTTAGTTCCAGTGGCTCCGAGTCAAGATGTCGAGTAGAAGTAGCTGAGAGGACCGCTGGGTGGGCACACAATGCATCAAACTCGCGCTCTCTTTGGCTACGTCACTATGCTTTCCGAGATCGACATGTCACAAGCCCCGTGTTGCCCGGAGGGTTGGGACTTGCAGTACTGGGCTAGAGTCACAAATCATTGAATATTCATTTAGGAATTAAAGATTTTCAGAAATAGGATTAACAAGAGGAGTTCGGTGGGAAATAATAGGTTTTGATGCAAACATTGAAAAAAGACAGACACTGTTGAATTTTCGACACTTACATGTTTTTGTTCGTGTTATGTATATGTTTCCTGGAAACAAAGGGAAAATTAGGAGAAAAGTAGGATGAAAATAGTATGTCTGTGGGGAATCATGGGGAATCCTAGGTTTCGATGCGAGAATGCACAATCCTCGCTTTTTTCCCTGTTGGGCCCAATGCGCCTTATGTCGGCAAGCCCTGTTTTTGTCCCAAAGCCGGTCCCGCTGATTTTGCTAACACGACAAATCACAGCATTTTGTTCGATTGGTTCACTTTTTCCGTGCTTTCGAAAAGCATCTCCTCTTCTGTCAATCTCGCCCGGGAGGAAACTATACTATACCTCTCATCGATACATCGTGCTCTTGGGGGTGCAGCCGTATCTTTCCCTCGCTACGGGGTAGCTGATGGTGACTGCAGTATGGGGGTCTTCAATCCAAGATAAGATGCACTGGATAAAGCCTCAGAGGACATTGTGGCCAGGCTTGGTGCATCATGCCCAGATCATGCCTCTCCTCCATGAGTTGTTGCAGGTACGGGTGCGCCGCAGTGCCCCTGAAATCCCTGCAGGCATTGAACGGATCAGACTGAAAGGATTCAGGCCAAGCAGCGGACCTCTACAGCAACATCAGTGCTGCATCGGCACAGGATGCTGAACTCTACTTGTCGGCGACTCGTAGCCACGGCCTTTACTTTACTTGTCGTCGTCTGTTTTGGGAGTCTGCACTGCCTTGAACATTGCTACCTTTAATGCCTATCCCAGCTAGAGCGACTCAGCAGCAAAGAAGCACAGGTCGTACAAAGAATCGCACTTGCAGGCTTGTAGGTCAACAGCGGCCAGCGGACATTTTTCAGAAGCCAAGTAAACTAGGTGCCCCTCTTCAGATGCTTTCGTTTTTGGCCGTGAAATCGAAGCAGCAGGGATCAAGCGCATGCGAAGCCGTCGAGAAGCAGCACAACATGGCTGCTCACACTACCAGTAGAATACATAAGCCTTCACCTGGCTGTCTACTTCTTCTTGTCCTTCTTCAGAGGTGCTGTCGCAGTCAAGCTCGGCCTCCAAAACGGAAGCCGCAGGGTACAGGCCATGGTCAAGTTACCTACAGCAGCCTAGTCTGTAAGTGCATGGGCCATTGAGCTATGTGCAGACAGATGCCGCGCAGGGTCACCACTCACGACCATGTATGACCCTCCTTGCCTGTATCTTGTGAAGCTTTTCTGCCGTCGCCAGTTCTTCGGGAATGTCTTGACATACTGCACGTCTCGGGCATACTTCCGCTTTATTCGGCTCGAAACTCGATTCACGGGCAATTTTTCATCCAGGGCCGCTGTGTAGAACTCACTGGGCTTCAGGTGATCATAAACCTCCTTCATCCGGTTGATGGCATTGAGCTTGGAATTGTAATCCCAGTTCTTTGAGCGCTCCAGCACCCGAATGGAGCGGACAACATGGGCCCGCCATTTGGGGTCGGATGGCAAAGTATGAGCCACTCTCTGCAGCGTTGGATATCGGAGGCGGGCGATTTGCGAATTCAGTTCTGGCTCTGGTTGGCCGAACTTGATTCCTCCAGCAACCCCCCTGAGAACGTCACTCTCAAAGCCAAGGTGATTTCGCCACGGATGATGTATGCCCTCCAACTGTTGTTCAGGTTCTTCCACCTGGTTCTCTGGCAGTGCGTCAAGCACACCTTCTATGGACGAGGACTCGCTGATTGCGTGCAGTGCAGCATTGGCTGCTTGGAGCTTCTGGCTAAGGCGTGCGCGTGAATTGAAATTCCAGCGAACATCCCCCCGAAACGCGGCCAGTGGCTCTAGCACCTCTGGTGGTAAAGACGCTTGGCGGCGGAGCTTTGTCAAATCCGAGTGCTGGTCAAGCAAGCGTGGTAAGCAGCGCTCATCCAATTGGTTCCGGACGCACCTCTCATGCAGGAGCCGCTCCATGCCGCTACGCTTCATCATGTACGGATTGTCGAAGTCTGCCAACTCGTGCGTTAGAACGGGTCGGTTCTGATCCGCATATTCTGACCGTAGAGCTGTCTTCAGAACGTCTGCTAGGCGATCGCTGCGAAAAGCTAGAGGCTCTCGTTCCGGAATGTCCTGAAAAAGACATGCAAAAGACCGCAAGGCCAAGGAAAACTGGTGAGATCTCAAGAGAGAGGCGGAGGCACCGGCCTCACGAAGCTTTCGGTGATGTTGACGATAGTACTCAGACTTCCAAAGGTCTTCAAGTATGGACTGCTTTCGCCATTCGTCTTGAAACTCATCTTCCTGCCATGAGTCATGGGGCGGCAAGATCGTGGTGCATCGCGCATAACATAACACTCATCATACCCTCATGCTGCCCGAGGCGCCTCGGCCTCAAATTCTTCTTCCTCTTCCTTGTATCCCTCGTTCAGGAGCGCATGGTTGCGCTTCGCCCTTCGACGGCGAATAATGTCATATGTCTTTTGTAGCGACAACCCTTCACCTGCAACGTTTCAAATCTGCAGAAACAGGCGGCAGCAAGGCGAGAACAAGTCGGCACACTCCGCTGAAGAATGTCCTGAGGCTGCAACGCTGTGTTCGATACAGCTTCATGAAGAGCTCGAAATCTTGATCTTTTGTCCGCTTGCTCTGTACCTGTTTCCACCTGTTGAAGCGAGCATAGCCGTCCTCGTCTTTGAATGCCTGCTCTTGGGGCTGAGATTTTTCGTCGGCATTCGCGGTTCCCGCAGATGCCGGGCTTGCCCCGGCTCGTTTAAGAATTGCTCTGATGTCTGCCCGCAAACAGTAGAAGACGCTGACGGGGCTCATTTTCATGGGCATCTCTCGAAAATGACGTTGAATTCTCTTGGCAATTTCAACTTCTGCATCATACACGATGTCTCCGACTCGGGTGGCTTTGCCAGCTTCCGCATCCTGCAGGTTTTTCTGGATGTTGCGTAGGTTTTCAGCCAAACGCTGAAATGAAGGTCCAGAGTTCGTTGCGAACGCTCGACCACTTGCTGCACGCGCTGCACAGGCATGGGAGGCAGCGGCAACAAGCTTCATCATGCAAGCACATCCCCTCGGAAACCCACATCATGTCGTGCACTGAAGATGGGCAAGAAGGTGGGAATTGTATCGGTGGATCTTGCGGAAGACATGCCGACATGAGCACCCCAACATGCCGCTGAAAGAACTAAACATCCCCCAAGACGAAGCCCTCCCAGTGGAGACTTCTGCAGTTGAGCCAGTGTCGCTGCAGCCATGCAGGGACATGATACACAGTGAGAGGGTTCGTATCATGACCTAACCGACTGCATGATCACGAAATGATGGAGCACTGTCGGTGAATTGGGCGAGCTCCCAACTCACTAGTCGTTTGGCATTTCCTTCATGCGCCTGCCCAACGGTTCCTGATGCAGACGACGAAATTCCTGGCAATCATTGCTGAACCCTAGGTCTCGCGCAGCGCCTGGGAAGTTCTGCTACCGCTTCGACCCAACTGACTAGACCAATCAATACGAGCCTTGAGCAACAACCACTTTGGGTCAAACAAACAAAGGCTCCGGGGCCGTAGCCACGATGTCGCGACTTGTCAGAGTTAGAGTCCTGCACGCACAAGCCATGGCTGCAACGGCAATGCAAGAGCCTGCCCAAAGATAAAAGGGTCCTTGCCAACCACGCAATCGCTCGCGTCCACCGTGTGCTGACTCCACGAACTCTGCCACTTCACAATTGGCCAAATACCTGTCTGTGAAATGATTCGCGGTCTACAAGAAGCATCACCACCAGGATGCTCTCTGGTTTCTCTGCGGTTGGGGACTGTTTCACTGGGATGCTATTGCATACTGTTTCCGCATGTGCCTGCCCAGCAACGCTGCGAAGAAGGCACCGTGGCCCACGACGACAATGCGCTTCCTCAGGACATGCACAGGAGACTACAGGAGTGGCATTCCGAAAAAAGACGTCAACCAAATCGAAAGCCGGAGCCTGTCGCAGAAATTGCGTACATATGAATGGACGCTGAATCTGAGCTGTCTAAACCATTGTGCAGAGAAGTGTCTCCGGCTGCTCCGACAACCATTCCTGGAAGCAGATGATCGTTCATTCTGACAGGCACGATCATGTGATCTGTATCTGCATGTCTCTGCACGACGCTCGTTCGCGCAGCCTTTTTGCAGAGACTTGGCCAGTCAAAGCCATGCAGCTGGCAGGGTGTTAGTTAGCTGCGCAGGCCATCCTAGACCGAAACACGCAACAGGAATTGCTCTTATTTCTCTACACCACGAACAACCCCCCGGCATGACACCGGCACGGCAGGAATCAAAAGAGGAGATGCGTCTTCTGGTGTGCTTCACGTGTTTCCACAAGACTAATTACTGCTTTCAGAGCTTCTGTACATCTCACATGCATCTCTCAGCGCATATGTCAGATCGGTGAGAACCCCTTCCTTTTCTCAACCAGAATATGAATAGTGGTCCACAGGTACGAATGCAAAGTAAGAAACATGTTGACCAAATATGCCCGCAGTGGTGGGGTAAGCACCGTCGTGCTAAGTAGAGGTGAGGGTGAAATAATACCAAATAAGTTGCAACGGGGTGAGCCCAGTTCGTCTCTCGCTGTGACTCTGAGCGGTATGCACCTTTTTTTATACGTCCTAGGCTGACGTGTCCCCCAGATATCCCGCTGGGTATCGGGAGCCAGCCAGGCCCGCTCCGCTCCGAGGAGCGTAGGATTGGCCGATCTTCTAGACGGGTCGGGAAGCAAGGCACGGCAGGGGTGCACTACTCTACGCGCCTAAAGCGGACAAAAGCTTTTTAGCCTTTCGCGATTGCAATCGCCAATCTTGAGCCGATCGTCCGCAGTTGGAACTTTTGTAAGAACCTATACATGCCAGCTGCGGACAGAAAACACTACCACTCACAGAGATAAGACGTGATTACACCATACTACACCACTTTATGAGTCCTCGCCAAAATGGCGGAATATGAAGTCGTCAGTCGTCTATACTTCTTGCTCGGACAGTCGTCCGAAGATATGCAGTTCTCCTCCTCTGAATATGCTCCTGATCTGCATCCTCCCTTCCTAGATGCGATTCCTCCTCATCCTCCTGTCGTCGTCTATGCCGGGTATGGACCTCATGTCGTCAAGCACGCAGTCCCAAGGCAGATACGCACCCTGATGTGACAGCAATCCCTGGCGACATGGGAAAGAGGTGTGCAAAACAGATAAATACACAAACACGGGAACAAAGCGAAAGCAACACAGGCAGAGAGACAAACACGACTTGACAGACTGTGCACGCATGCACAGTAGATGGAAAAAGTGAAAAACACGATGACAGGCTTTACCGGTGCTGTCACACTGAATACGTGTACGAACACCATGACATGCCGATCATACCACGATGCGACATCATGCTCAAAGTTGCAATCGTATGCCGTGCATGTGTATCACACATTGACATAAACAGCAGCAATCGGTACAAAGAATCTGCGAACGATACTTGCTTACCAAAGCGCCATCAACCTAAAATGGAAGGCCGTGCACAGACCAGCAAACATGCCCCATACTTGCGCAGGGAGTCTACTGAAGCAACTGCTGGCGATCAACCTCCCCTCACAGTGAAGATCTCTTCCCACCTACCAAGATGGGATGGACTGAAGCCTGTCCATAAAAAAAATCCCACAAAGACACATGTGCAGACAGACAGAGAAAGAGAGAGAGAGAGAGAGAGAGTGACAAAACATGACAAAACCAAACAAGTCCATGCAAACCACGCAACCCTCAGATGCGTGATGCACAGGCAAGTGTTCACACGGGAGTGCACGCCTGTAGCGTGTTAACGTTTGTGACATGGTATGTGATAAGACCATATGAACTACCGCACGGCCAACACAACAGAAACAACAGAGGTCGCAAACAAATCGGAAGACATGTGCAAAGCCATGCCAGCACCATCCGTGTTTCCGGAATCTTGTTGTCAACATGCTGAACATGAACCATCCGGAGGCTTGCAATTTTTTGATCCCAACCTTGTTCCGAAACTGTTTCTGTTCTTGTCACCACCTGCATCGTGGCTACGACCTATCTTGTACGAATGGCCGGAGTAGCTCGCAACCTTAACACCGCAAAGAAAAAACACGTCTAAAACTTTGAACCAGAGATACGAAGCAGAAGATGCTAACAATGCACGTAACCTGCATGGGTCAAGGTTTATCGGTTAATCATCCTCCAAGCAGCCAAGAATGCAGGTACTCGAGTCTCGCGCCAGGTTTTGTCAGAGCTGCAATCTGGCGTCCACTCTTCCTCCAACTCTGCGAAACCCTGCAGCCACTGTGACGCTGGAAGGATACAACCATCTTCATGCTGCAGTAATTATCAGGCAGCCTCCCAGCTTTCTATGAACGGGAATCGCTCCACGAGGTCTGACCTTGGCCATCCTATCAAGGAGCTGGAATACTCGCGGAGTTGAAACTGACCCACCATCCACACTTTGATGCTGAGGCTGCCGATGCAACTGTCATTGCATATGACTCCATAACGCTCCAGAGTGACGGCAAGTTTTGCACCTGTGATTAGGCCTATCTCACCACAAGGCCTTTATGCTGAGTTACTGCAATAAGTGCTCGCCCGTCGAAAAACCTCTATGTGCGCACTGCTGCAAACTTTAACTTCGATTGCGTTGAATCAATAGTACTTCTACCAAAACAAGGGCACAAAGCTCCTACACTAAACTTTCAAGGTCGTAGGAAGCTCGCGCACGGTCCACAGCAGAACGCGGTCACGCAGACTCCGGCTAGCGCAAAGCCCCCAAGTTTATCATAATTGAAACGAGCAAGACACTTGGATCGCCCTTGGTCAGACGTCGAAGAGCATCCTTGGTGGTGCGTTCTGAAACGGTGCTTCGACCCGGATTCTACCGAACATGTACACGTGACCACGTGGGGTTTCACATTTTTCGATGGCTGCAGCCGACTACATGATCAGTCATGACTCACCGGCCTTTGGATGTGCACATAAGGCATGAGCATCTCCGCTTGCAGGCACAAACGCACAACTCCAGTAACAAACTCGTATCCGAAGTGGATGCTCCGAGCGGACCACATGCCCGGGGTACTTTGCCCACACTCGGATCCCATAGCGACGTCGTGCTACGGCTCGTGGGCGGGCCTCCTAGCCCAACACAATAAGTCTTTGTTCTGCGCACCTTGTTGCGACTGCAAATCCAAGAGTGCCATCGTGCGGTCGGCCGTCGCGTGTCACAGGACTAACGAGGGTGGCATCGACGGCGAGCTGTGTCCCGTTCCAAAGCGGCAGGCCATTGCAAACGACCTCAATCAATGCGCCGGGCATCATGGACGGGCACGTCGATGTTCATGGCGGGGAGTGCAACGTTGCGGCCGACGCGCGCCCCGGCCTCCTGGCAGACACGAGCGATGGCGCGTTGGAGGGGTATAGGGCTCGGGAGGCGAGCACGCCGGATGTGGAGCAGGCAGCTCGGTGGTCTCCATACGCATCAAGTGCGCCGTGGCAGGGGCAGCTGCGGGGGCCGAGAGGAATGGGTAGGCGCAGGCGTCGCACGAGACACGGAAGTGAGAGGCGGCAGGACCGTAAGTGCTCGGGCAGAGTGCGGTCCAGCTTGCGAGAGCAGCAGGGCGTGGCACGCAGGGGACAAGTCAGCAAGGTGCGTCTCGAGCGTGCGCTCGTCGCAAGCATGGGAGGCTCTGCGTTGCCAGCCGCGGAAGAAGTCGGCTGGCTCATCCTGTTGGGAAGGGGGTTGGGCACAGTGGACATGGCCTCGCTCCATTCCATCATTGTGTTGCCCTGTGTGGTTAGGTAAGCCGCGGCCTGGGTGGCTGCGAGGAGTGAGGGCGTGAGGCGCGGTCCGCGCGTACTGTTGGAGGGGCAGCGGTGCATCTGCAAGGCCTAGAAGTGCTGAGAGGCATATTGGCCGATGGCAATGTCGAGGTGACATAGTCTGCTGTCATGGCTGGTGGCAAGGAACGCAACAGGCAGTTGGCACGCGGCGAGGCACAGTAATGCAGCAACAACCATGCCGCTTGGAT